CAACTTAGTTGCGCGTCGTTGTACCCTTTCAAGGGTTTTTCTGTCTTTGACTATCCAGGGTTTCCAGGCTTGTACGGTAAACTCCAACTGGGGTCGTAGAAACGTCCCAAAGACCTTACCAAAGCGTATTTCATCGAACTTAGCGAAGGCGCGCTTACTGAGATACAAGGTGGACATTGCGGATTTGGCCACCTTCAAGCAGTGGAGTGATGGTTTTAGTGAAGGCGTGATCCACACCCCCTAGATTCTTCTGGGTCTCTACCTTCTGAGTCGCGACCTTTTGATCAGAGTCAAACGGTTTTACTATTGAGCCACGAGCTCTTTGTCTAGTCGGTTTTGTTCAGGGGATATTGACACGCATTTATGAACGTTCACCAGACCACTAACGGGACTTATCTGTCCCGCTCTGCCTTGGGTCCCGCCAGAGGTTACCGATCGGGTGAACGTGCATCAACTTTGCGTATGTCGTTATACTTCCCCTAGCTATAATCTAATAAATCGGACCATGCTATTTACTTTAAAACCACCGAGCCTGCATAACCTACACTTTATCTTTTGCTTGATAAGCCTGCTTATATATAAATATATATTCTGTACGAGAAAAAAATATTTTCCAGGAAGGTTTAAGGTTCAATTTCCGTCACTGTGTCTTCTTAGTTACCACCAACTCCGAAGAGGTCCACTGTGTGTACCACACCACAGTGGGTGCGGGTACGATAGAGTAAACTTGCACAGCATCTACCGCACTCTCTCCTCTCCAATCCGGGCCCAGCTTCATGACCACGAGAGGAAGCGGGTTGCTGGCGCGCAAGATGCCATCGGCTCTGCTCCCACGAAGTGAGAGTACCATAGGTGTTACTTTACAAAGCAGTCATTGCAGCCTGACTCTCAGTCCGCCAGTCAGCCACTCCACACAAAAACACACTGGGCTGACCGTGCGGTCCAAGTTATCTTGTTAGTTGAAGTAACCAACTGGTATGGGTATTAAAGGCGTGCCGGCGTTCAGTCTGGGGTGGAAGACGAAGTTGAATTCCAGTTCCTCACCCAGTTTCTTCTAATTGTTTACGTAGATTTGTTAAGTTTCTCTAATCGCACAACGCATTAACCCTGAATGATATTTGCAACCAGTGAGAGCTTTCGAATTATCTTGTCCAAATCCTAACCGCTAAAGCTTTTTTTTCTTAGCGGATCCGTTGGCAACCAGGGACGACATTCAACCCTCTGCCAATGGAGACTCCTCCACCGAGGTTGCTGTGCCGCGGTTTTTCGTTGCCCAACTGCATCAGATTACCATCACTTCCGATAAACAGGATCAAGTGCGTTTCCCTCTATCCCCCCTTGAGATCATGTCCAGTCGTTTTAGTTATTTTCTTTTTCCACTTGTGTCTCTAACCTCATTGAATTCTCGGTATCAGACAGCTGAGGACATGGATCCGCGTCCTGTGTGCATACACAGATAGTAGAATATTATGAGCCTACTCTGCTAAGTTCGTCTGACATCCTTATTCACAACCCAACGTTCATAATTCGACTATTGGCACAGATGACAACTACCACCACTCAGAGGACGCGTCAGCGGCCTATGACGCATTTAGATTTTAGTAATGTGAGCTAGTGGTTTTCCCACTTCGTTCGACTCTCGCGTACCCACTGTCTTTCAATGCGAAGCAGCACGTCGGGGTAACTGGGGGCGGACGAAGCTGCAATGGCTGACAGGGCTGAAACCATGTCTA